CCTCTTTTGGGGGAGACCTAAAGCTGGTGACCTAAAGTTGGACCTGTTTCTGGCTTAAAGTGATAAACGCAAAGTAGAAAAGAGGCAAGTATGAGCTTAGTTTCCTATTTTGTGGGGGGAATTCTCCGTTCCCTGATCATATTCTGATCAAAAACATTTCTTTTGAAAGTTAAATGCAGATAAAAGTGTCACCTGAGACGATTTAGTACACAACACTCCCAGTCCGACTCGAAGCCAAAACACTGAAGCTCTGGCGGTTTTCAAAGTTTTCTTCACACATTCAGCGGCTGCATTAACACCAGCACAACGCTGATAATACCCAGATAACGTAGCAGCCAAGGCCAACACAGCATTTCACAGTTACAGCTGAAAAGGCGTAGTTCTTGGTCTTGGATACAGTAAATACGAGCAAGATGACCAAGAAAACCATCTATCAAAATTAGTGAAGCCATGTAAATGACGAGCAGGTGGGGAAACAGGAGCGAGGCGCGCACACCAGGCCTGCAGCGTTAACGCAGCGGCATGTGAGCAGTAACCGAAGGCAGTTTAGGATATTACACAACTTATTCCTATAGCTTAGGAAACACAGGCATCTTTCTAAATTATTCTAGACCCCAACAGGGCAAAGATTTGAACAGTTCAACCGACTAACGAGGTCCATTTACAGCCAGAACTAAAGCTCATGGAGCTCCCCAAAAAGTCAATTAAGTAAAATAAAATAAAAAGGGTGAGCAGGGTCAGAAATACGACCTAGCCCTACAAATGTCAAGCGTTTATAGAATAAAACAATGAAATGATCACAGCTCAGGACAAATAAGGGAAGTCTATAAAAATGTGTGCTTCAAATCTTCACTTAAAGCGAAGTAAACATTAAAACTGTTATTTTACTTTTGTTTTGTCATATAAATTCCGTCAGACTGTGCTATATGGGCCTATTATCCAGACCGAAAGCTTTTCAAATTATAGCTATAGGACAACACTGAATGAAAACAACTAATTTCTGCAGTAAACCAAAATGACCTATCGTTACCTCCGTCGCTTAGCAACCGCGTTGTTTACAGTTTAACGCCTATAGCTAGATTAGTCGGAAGAATAGTCTCTAATGATTATTATAGCTTTTATTTACAGATCCCACATCAACAGAGAAATAAATCACAGTCTGGTCTTTTAATGCGGCCATTTCCTTCTTTCATGGTTATATAGGCTTATAGGCAGAAATAAATATATTTGAACCTATAAAAATGTTTGTGGAGGCTTGTGCTGGTTTGTTATGGACAGCAGAAACAAACAGCAGTTTCCTTTCAATTCCCTGATTGATCACTGATAAAGCAGCTGATAGTTCGTCTCGCCGGTTTGTGTCTGAGGAGAACACCGCGCTGTTTGGTCAGGGATTTCATGGATAAGCTGCCCTTTGAGCAGCGTTGGTGTTTGATGTAGAGCCGAGAGACCTCACCTTTCTGACTCACACAGTCGGCACACAGACACACAGAAAGAGAAAAGAAACACGCACAAAGGCTCCGTTTACTCTGCAGGGCATGCTTGTGTGAGAGCCGCAGCATTGAGCGATAAGCCTGGCCAGTGTGGGCTTTCTCAGCCAGTAGAACAGAAAAATAAGGCGCCAGTGTTTTAATGTCCGAATAAAAAGCGGGAGTAGTTTTCCAAACCCAAACCTGGCAACATGGAGCGCCTGCTTTCTGAGATGGTCACTTTTGTAACCGTAAAAAAAACAAAAAGACATTTTCTCACAATAAGCCCAAGTATCTTGTGAAAAAACTCACTTCTTAAAAAGAACAATCTAATAATAAACGAGCAAATATACTCAATAACAATAATAATTAATAATAATAACGCACCGGTTTCATTTTTTGCTCAAATGATTCCTGGCATTTAACACCGCATGTGTTGACATATCTCACAAAAACCCTTAAATGTCATGTTTCCATAATTTATTAATAGGACTGTTTTGTAGTAAGTCAAATATCTATATAAGTTACAAAGAAATAAAACGTACAAATACCAATGAAACGACAACAAGCCGGCAATAGCGTCAAAAACTTTGTACAACAGAGAGCTAAAATCCGAACCTTTTACAGAAATATACAAGCTAGATCTACGGCTTACATTAAATCCTATTAGAAATCAGTCATCGTGTGTGTGTGTGTTTGTAAAGAAGGATTTAACAGCACCCATATACAGCAGTCCTGAAGTCTATTTGCCTCCCTGTTCTGCGGTCTATTTCACTGCTGATTCTTCTCTTGTCTCAATATAATTTACATAAATAAATCCCAAGACTTTCACATCCGCAGTTTCTGGGCATGTGTTTCTTCCACACAAGTCACACTTCCTTCCAAATTGTGAAAATTCAGGAAGAGCTGCACCGAATTCATTCGGTGCTTGTTCAAATGCGCACATTTACAGTGAAACCAGTCGAAGTCTTGACCGAAAAGTGTCTTTTTTCTTTAAATAGAAGAGAGTTCAAATCAAGCCCGGCGCCTCTTGTCACCACGTCCTGCCGTATAACAGGGCTGAGCACTGCAGGGCCGAGCCGTAGTCTGCGCCGGGGGAGTTGAGGTGGGAGAGGCCGGCCACTTGGCTCTGCAGTGACGGCGGACTGGAGGAGTGCTGTGCCAAATCTGGAGAGTGACCTGTGCTTCCCACCTGCTGGCTCTGATGCTGCCCGAGGCCGGACGTGTTGTTGGACATGATCATGACATTGCCCCCTTGCTGGTGGTGCGTCTGTGCGGAGGATGTGGGCGTGTGGCCGCTGCCCTGGCACGGCTTCCCGTCCTTTACCAGCACTGGCACGGCCACCCTGCGCGGGGACTGCTGCTGCTGCTGGCAGGAGCCACTCTCCTGCTGCATCTGCTGCTGGGACACTTTGTCTTTAGCCTGCCTCTTCATCTTATACCGGTGATTCTGAAACCAGATTTTCACCTGGGTCGGGGTGAGGTGGATCATACTTGCCAGGTGCTCCCTCTCCGGTGCCGACAGGTATTTCTGTTGCTTGAAGCGTCGCTCCAGCTCGTAGACCTGCGCCTGGGAGAACAGCACTCGCCTCTTTCTCCTCGGGGTGCTCGACAGAGAGCCCATGCTTTTACCCACGTCTGCCAGGGAGCTGAGGCTGCCCATGCTGCCCATGTTCATGCCTGACGACGACCCCATAAAGCGAGAAACTAAGAAAAAGGAACATATATATAGAAAGAAATTAAAAAATGGCTTGAACCAAATGTTAGACGGTAAAAAATAATTATTTATGTGGAATTCCTTATAGAAAATTTGGTTTAGGTCCGGAGACAGAAAGTGGTTTCGACGGATAAAGCTATATAATTTCTTGAACTTGAGTAGCCGCAATGAAAATGATTAAACAAGTGCAACAGTATTTGGTAAACAGCTGAGCAGACATCTCAAAATGATTCTCACGGAAGTAGGCACCCTTACCCTATAGATCATCAAGATGCCAAATTATATCAACAATATTTCTCAGCTAATACCTGACTGTACATTATCACTGGGTTAATGCGATAAAGGAGTCTGAGCTACTTAATAATCAATCTTCAATAAACGCGCAAAGCTTCGAGGGAAAGCTGCTGCTCCTCTGGTGAAATTTCTCCAGATGTTGCACAACGTGGATGAAATGCACGACAGGTTTGCCTGATTTTTGTCCTGCTAAACAATAAAAATACGCACATCTAAGCTACAGTGCTATGGTATGGATGGCGCCCACCTTTACGCACAAACAGGTGACAGAAACACAGCGAGCCCTAAACGCAATAAGAACAGTGCATACACGGCAAATCCTGGATTTCAGCATGTAGCCTGTCCCATGTCATATCTCAACGCTGTAGTCCCAGTACAGGTGTAGGATACTCACTGGTGGAGAAGCGCGGGTCTGGGTTGGCTCCGTACCAGCCGGTGGCCGTGGCGCTGCCCCTCATCCCGTCTTGGTAGGACGGCAGGTCGCCCATGTTGCCCAGGTTGCCGTTACAGTAGCCCCCCATGGCCGTGTGTGACAGCTGAGAAACACCAGCAGCAGTCATGTGGTAAGCCGCAGACACAGTCCCATTATGGCCCATGTGGTGCTGCTGCATCGCCGCCTGAGAGACCTGCGGCTGCCGGTAAGAAGTGAGAGGTGCCCCCAAGTTGTTATTCTCCATACTTACTTTCTTATAGCTCTCCTCAAGGGGACTCAAGATATCGGAAACAGAAAAAGGAGTCGTATGCTTAGGGCTCATCGACATTGTTCTGGGGCTGGAGTGGGAGAAATTAGAAGGCAAGGCAATCTCTCCTTCTCTCTCTCTCCTTTTTTTTTTTTTTTGGCCAAAGCCCCTCTGGTTCCTGTTGTCTCAACGTCGATCCTGGTAGATGAACACGTAGGAGAGCGCCTCAAGTCCGCCTTAATTGGATTGAGTGGGAGCTCGGTCCTGGCTTTGGTTTGTTTTAGCTGGGTGCCAGGTTTAAGGCTACCATCAGAGGCGGGGCATCGGCAACAATACAAAACAGTTCTAGCCTCCTTTCGCCGAGCGTAATTTCACTTACAAGACATGTGCTCCCCTCCCACTAACAATAACATAAGCGCCGTACATGATCATAGATGTTCACCTCGGCGGCTGCAGCTGCTGCATTTGGACTTTATGACTTGTTGCTGTCTCTGATAAACACGCATCTACAACTTGGGATTGCAGTGACCACAATACACTTTATTAACTGTAGTGATGTTTACGAGGGCCTCTTGATGAAAGGAGGCCTATATGGACTTGAGAGTTGGAGAACCACTCCTCAATTGAACTACTGACTTTTAATGGCCATGAGAGGCCTCCAGTGATTGCAGGATTGTTTGTGTTATGCCTTATCATACTCAGACATGCAAAAGTGCACTTGCGGGGAGGGGAATTGACTGATACTGATAAGTAAATAAATACACATCCGCGTGTTAAGTGGCTGCGTAAATGATTAACCTCCCTGGTTTTTTTCATTTGATATCATTGGACTCAAGCAGCATGTTACCTAGATTCAGATGCACACACTTGCCTAAGACACGCGGTAAAAAAAAAGAAAAAGAAAAGGAAAGAGAGAGAGTCTGGAGTAGGAGAGGCTCTCCTGTGAAGTTAACTTAACGGTGTTCAAGTACTCTCCTGCAGCACAACGCCAGGTAGCCCTCAGCAGCGCCTTGCCTTAATGCTCAAGGAGCCATAAAGTTTAACTCGTTTATGTCTTACTCCAAAGATTTGGAGATATTACGCAGAGGCTTAAAGAAAAGGTTTTCGATATACATTTGCAATTAAGAAAAGTTGATCTGGTGTAGTGGAAAAAAGTCTACTTCTCCGTAAAACCGTCATGTGACTTTTTCCTGCGATTTCCACACCAGAGATGACAAAACAGGAATCAGTTTATTATCATTATTATTATATTTCAATGCTATTTATCGCCCCGTTTATAATATGCCCAGCACTTGCTTTAATCCAGTACAAGTCTCCATTCGGCTGCCAACCAATTCATCACATCTCCTGGTTTCCAGTTACAGATTTGTCGCCATACAACATAAAAAAATAAACAATTTGATATCGATGCAATAACTTCTAACTTACACAGTTTGTGGAGGTCGGGGTCATACCGGAGCTGAACCTCTAGCTACTGCTACAACAATAAAGCAGATATTATTTAAAAACCTCGGTCTTACTCAGCTGATGCCACCAGCTCCTGCCAGATGTCTGTGTGCAGTTTGAGGCCATTTCTCCTTATACAGGAATTAAAGAAACACAGCGTCTTCTGGTGGCAGACACACTCCCTTGTAACACTGTGATCCATCTTATTCCTTAACGAAAACACTGCTTCTTATTTCATTTCCTAAATAAAACCGAACATCTGTGATTAGTGCTATTGTTCTTTTTTAATGCACCCTCAGCAACAAGTTGTCAAACTGGGGCCAGACTCGGCACCAGTGTGAACGTGTCCAGTAAAGTCCCGTTACTGCAGTGACACGCTGATCACTAACGTGGTCACGGGGATCAGCAGCCACAGGTCCACAGTTTTCTAGCTTCTGGCTGCTTGTATATTATAGCAGGAGAAGCAACGCACTGTTTCCAGTGCAAGATGCAAACGCACTGGTCCAATTTAAAAAGCCCCGTCGCCTACATCAGCAATCCATATCTTCCTGTTGCCTTACAATTATCTTTAATGAAGCAATATTATCATATAGCCGACGGCTAAATATTACAATTAAAATAAATTGTTTGGATGATAGCTGAGGAGCGGGCGCGTAATTCACAGGCCATATAATCGCAGGTAATTAAAATTACAGCATGTTTCTGCATCAAAGGTAAATCTTGCTTACGTCTTGTTTAATTATGGATTTTTTTTCCTAAGACATTCTTAATCATTTAAATCAGTACCTTTTCCCCGATCTGGCACACGGCTATTACGGCCAATTAGCGGTAATTAGTCCAAATGTTCCGGCTAATTCCTCAGAATAATGAGGACACTTTGAAGTGGCGGGTATGAGGCTACCGAGCCTTTGTTATCGAGTCTTCAGGTTGTTGTTTCTGAACTGATTAGTGCATGATACAATTCAGAGAACAACTTCTGAAGGGGAAAATAAGTAGCGCAATAACAAGCAAAAAGGAAGTTGCTTTCTGTTATTGTCCAACAGAAATGATTTTTTTTTTTAAGTAAAGATTTTGTTGTGAATATTTGTCCAATTAGAAATAAGCTATCGAAGGACACAGCGAGAGAAAGAAAGAAGATATTAAATACTCCGGGGGAATACTATATTAACAAGTACAGAAATATCAGCTTATACCCAATAATTAACCACCCACTATTAAAAAAAAAGATGCAAACATCTGGACACGTATTGCACAAATTATCATCTTAAATTTGAGGTATTTGTGTTCAAAACCATGCAACATTTATGGCCACATTTAATATAAAAAGTTACAAATATGATTAATGTTGTTGTGCCACAGCACCAAGTCTGCAGCAGCCAAACCAGACCCTATTAAATCTCATTTTAACAAAGGGCCCAGATAATTGCTTCCTTACTCTCTGACAGTTTTGGCTCCCCTGAGGATTTTCTTCTCCTCAAAACCTTTGACTTTCCCCCCCCCATGCAACTCTTGAGCTACAAGGAAATGAGTTGCAGAAATAAACAGAAGCTGAGAGGGAGGTGAGAAAAGAAAAGAAAATTGGTCACCGTGCGCTTCACCATGGCAGGACACACGCCAAATGATGATGACCTCATGAGTCTTTATAGTGCCTCACAGAAAGTGACATTAATTATTGGTGACACATAGAGTCACATCCACCAACTCACTGTCTGGAAGAAAGGCACGTTCAGCTTTTTCCACCATGGTGGACTGACCATCACGGTCAAAAGGACAGGTAGGACAAATACTGATGCATGACGTCACAGCAGTCAGATATACGTCACTACGGGCAGCCATCTTTCTGTGCCAATCAGCAGCTGCAAAGCAGCATAGTAGCGAGGATTCTTCAGTGAAGCACGACCCCTAGTGGACAAACGTAATAACCAAACACACAGCTTGGTCACATTGACAGCAGGTAGATACAGTGTGTTACTGCGCCATCTAGTGGAGAGCTGGAGCATAAACGGCAAAGACACTTGTTGAGGATGGGAACCAGTGGTGTAGATGTATTCACAGCCTTTACTTAAGTAAAAGTACTAATACCACACTGTGAAAATACTCCGTTTTAGTTATGTATATGCAAGTACAATCAGGGAAATGTACATAAAGTAAAAGTACTCTGTTCAGAAAAATGTTCCCTGATTATTATCACTCATGCATTAATGTCAAAACAACATTTTATAGTCAACGTTTATTAGTAATTTGCAGATTTTTTTTCTTTCTTTGTTACTTGTTTTAACTGGTTTGTTTAAAAAAAGGACCAGGAAACAGTGAGTCCACAGTTACCTTCATGGTGCCTTGTCTACCCAACAGATAATAAATTCAATGGCAAGGCACCTTTTATTTTAGATGCTGGTGCCATGAAATAGTTGGTACTGCTTTTGCATGAAAAAAATATTTAAATCAATATCAACAGGAAACAAATAGATTATCTTAATCAGGCATACCTGTATTTATATTTCATAAGCTTTTATTTTATGCAAGCATTTTATTTAGTAAAATAACTACGCTCTCAGACAAATGTAGTGGAGTAAAAATTACAACTTGTGCCATAAAAATAAAATGCTCAAGTAAAGCACAAATACCTGAAATGCGTACTTCAGTACAGTACTTGAGTAAATGTACCTCAATTCCACCATCGGGAAGGGGTCAGCATGTCATGCAAACATCTGGAGTTACAGCTCCTTTTCATCCACTTCCTCTACATCAGGTTTTTGTCTTTAAGGCCTTTTAAATCGTCTCCCCACATGCAAGGAATCCTGTTTTATTATTTTTTAAATCAAACTCTGTAGGTCTGACCTCTCATTTGTACATTTTAATAAACAGAAGGGAGGCTGGGAAATATTTCATTTACAATTTGTTTGCAAATTACCAAGTGGTTTTACTTTACTTTTATGTGTGCTATGTAAATTTATTAAAATGAAACATTCTTACAATAATCATGTTTGGTTGAATTTCCCACCCTTGAAGACACATGTTGTGATGATGGGGTGGAAGTACACTGTACTTTTTTCTAAAGAGATCATAAAGTTGAAAAGTAGCTCATTGTATAAACACATTCTTCAGAGCCGGGGACGCTACTGACATCGTTTAAATTAAAAATATAAATGCCAAGACAAATATTCAATAAAAATAAGCAACATTTCATCCATTTATCATACTGAGAAGTTGCATTAAAATGCTGTTGAACAACCAAACACTGCTCATTAGGCATCAGCAGACTAGATTTTGTTTATCTTCATACACGTTTATGGAATTCATTCTGATTGCACTGTTATACGCTGGTCCACCTTCAGTTCATTTAGCTAAACCAGTTAGGAAAACCTTCACAACCACCACCATCTGTTGTATTCTGCCTGAGTCTATACAGTCGACCACATCCTCGCTCCACCTGCTGCCGTGCACACGCAGTGAGTTCAGGAGCATCCCTCAGAGCTCCAGCAGAGGCGTCACTAGTCTCTCTTCCAAATGCTGTCACATATTGCACACTCAAATTAATAAATTGATTTATTTATCATCGTTTTAAATGCTTTATCCACTTTTTCCTCTTATCTATTAAACTTGATTTTCCTTTGACTTTCCTGCCACCAACCCCAGTTGTAAAACTGGCCTCACTGTCTGTTACGCCATGTCTGTCTGTGCTATGTGTGATGTTTTTATGCTTTGTTTTACCAATAAATAAAAATAACCAATTACTGTCCATAGGCAGAGTTTACCTGAACATGCCTCTGTCCTCCTGAAACATCTTTATTTAAAACTGCACATAGATTTTAAGCTAAACTGGATTTTCTCCTTCTAAAAAGGTGGACTATATTCAGAGGTGAGTCAAGTGTGATATAAAAACTATAGCTTGTTAGCTTTGTAGCCAGTACTGCAACTTTTTAGATAATGAACTGTTTGCAAATGAACAAACACAAACCTTAATAAATTCTGTCCAAAAAAAAAAAGATTTCAAAAACTCTAGGGTGTGAAATGAATTTTTAACTGAAAGACAATTTTGAAATCTACCAAAATCTGAACAAAGAGAATGTTCTCTGGGCTCTTAATACTAATATATATTATCTGTTATTAACAAAACTCATCTTGTGGCAGAGTTTACGTGGTCCTTATAACTTTCCTAAAAGGGGCCCTGGGGCAGGCCAGGGAGTAAAACTCTAGGATGGGCAGGCTAATACAAGCCCATCCTTTTCAGACAATTCTTCTGACCAACTTAAAAAACCAATGGCAACCTCTAAAAGCCTGTCTTTGTCACCCTTAAACCCCAAGATGCTCTAAAACACCATTGTGCAGTTAAACCTCATAAATCTGTCCCAGAGACTGATTAAACATCACGAGAATTGAAACACTAAAGATTTTGTCTAGGTCCCTTTTGGATGAGGGACAATGGTCCATTCACAGGGGGACACAGACAAAAAGAGTGTTTAAGGGAAGATGCAGCGAGCTGAGGGGTTTGGCCAGTCCCCTCCATATGTGATACAAGGTGGCCCCAGCGAGGGGGACAAAGGACCAGGTGACAGGGACGATGGGCTGCAGGGTCACAGGACATGCAAACAACATTACAGGGGGTGTGGAAGCAGAAGACCCCCCTCATCACTGATGAAATACTGACATGAGCTTAAACACTGAGGCATATTTGTCATGATATACAGCAGGACTTAAGTGAGATGGGACACACTTTGTCGAGGCAACGCTACAGCATGAAAATAACTGAAGCATATTTATAATCTAAGAAAATAAAAATAAACAAAACTGTGTTTCTCTATATTTTCTTGAAGTAATTTCACTGCTGACAGTGTAACAGCTGCAACAACAAAATAATCTATGGTCTTGCAACATAAGTCAAAATGAAAGATTTCTCTTCCTTCCACCAGTGAAATATTTAAGATTAGTGCTTGAATCAAGCCGATCATCTAGCTTTAATTCAGCATGTTGCAAATATATTTTAAAAAATCGTATTTGCTAACCAGTACACAGACTATGAGTTACATATTTGTCCCACTTACCTCTGCATAACAAATGTTAATTGTATAAAAGTGAAAATGAGCTCAACAGGGTACCATAGTGGGAGAGGCTGTAATGGTTACTGGGTATTCTTAAGCCTAAGCAAATCCAGTCCTTTTAGATGTGATGTTTGTGCATAATAAGGTCTTTTTTGTATCAAAAACCCCTCTGGGCTCCTGTCACGACCCGCTACTTCATTTAGATTTTACAAATTAAATATATTTTATACTATATATTATTGTATTATATGAAGTTAAAACCACTGAACAGCCCTATAAGCTAAATTGACTTTGAGAAATTGAAAACTCTTGGTTTTCAGAAATGAACACACTTTTTGGGGCTAAATTTGACAAAGAAAGCACATTACACAAAACCTATCATACAATATATGTCAGGGATTTTATTAATATTTGCTCACAAAAAGAAACAGTTAAATCCTTCACACAACATCTCCTTAAAGACAACAAATAGCATTATTTTCCTTCCAACATTCCGGCTATAATAATAATGTTGCTGCTACCTCTTCTATCACCGCCTATTGCAGCCTAATGTACATTTTTACCTTCAACAACACTTATTTATACAAATATGTTTAAACGCCGGATAATTAAAAATCTACAGGCTATACCAGCGCATATGTGAGAAAATATCAGAGTTGTAAAAATAGGCACAGACGCGCAAAATATCAAAATAAAATGTGCAAAATATCTTTTGTTCTACAGTGAAAAATATAAACGCTTGAGCTGCTCGAAAATTTGAAAAACTTTCAATAAAACATTTGATACAATTCTAAATAGGTTTGTGCACTGACATGAGGCCTTTTACTTGAAAGAGTTAAAGTGGACCGAGTCGCTCCAAAAGTCCCTCCAGGCGAATCTGGAGGCCGCGGCGGTGGGTAAGTGCTGGTACCTGGGAGGAAGAGCGACCGGGGAGTGATGCTGAAGAGAGGGGTAGGCCAAGGAGAAGGGAGCTGCCTGAGAGGGAAGATGTAAACAGCCAGGTTTCTCTGTGTCGACTAAGCAGGAGGGAAAAGGTTTCCCATCCCGGACCAGGATCGGAACAACGACCCTGCGTAGCACTGGAGGATGCGCTATCTCCACATCCTGCAGCGCTCCTTCTGCCCGGCCTCTCTTCATTTTGTACCGGTGGTTCTGAAACCAAATCTTCACCTGGGTCGGGGTCAGGCTGAGGAGCCGGGCCAGCTGCTCCCTTTCTGGGCCGGATAGGTAGCGCTGCTGACGGAAGCGCCTCTCCAGCTCCAAAGTCTGGGCCTTGGAGAACAAAACTCGACGCTTCTTGCTCTTTTTGCTCTTGTCGGGCTCCGAGTCCAGGGACGAGTCATCCGGTTTGGTTGAGTCGGGAGAGGCCTCGAGACTGCCTTCATCGGAAGCTGCAGAAAGCAGTGATACAGATTAGTCCAAACATTCTGCCTGTCTATTTACATCTACCTCTAAACTGTTCTCTTGATGAGGTTGTACAGTTCATCTAATCTAAATATCGAATTATCTAGATAAAGGTTCGATTGAAGTTCAGAAGAAATCTTAAAATACAATATTTTAAATCTAGGGCGGATGGATAAGTGAAACTTCATTAAATTACATTCCACAAACTGAGCATCATGAAGCTGCCATGGCTTCAAATATACACTTACATGTACAAAGGCTCCGGTCGCAGTCCACCCAGGAGATGTAGGGAGAGCTGGAGGAGCAGGAGGAGTAGACCGGGGACGACCGCGGTGCTACCTCCGTATCCTGCTCAGGCAAATCCAGGATGCTCCTCACAGAAAAATTGAACTTGGTCGCTGCAGCCATCCGGTTTGTTTTTCGTTAAAGGAGGCCAGCACTCAAAATAACACGTTTTATCCAAGGACGAGACAAAACGCAGCGGATCCTCTCTACTTTACGCGCTGTCCAAACACCAGCGCTGTGTGCACTGGGCTCAGTGTTTACACAAACAACCCTCCAGAAGCTGCAAACACAAGGTTGCTCGCTTATAAAGCCCCCTCCTACGCCGAGTACCTGAATGACTCGAGTGCTGTTACCCAGTGACGGTAGGTGTAGAGGCGCAGGAATAAAAAGAGCTTCAACAATGAGCGAAGGAAACACTCGTCATCATTACAGATTCGTCCCGTATCCTTAAACTGGGAAACAGATAATGGTAATTGTTGGAGTTGAATCACGTCTTGGGTGGCAACTGACAACAGAGCCCGTCCCATCATCAAATTGCCCCCCCACGTTTCTTCCCCCCTCCTCCTCTCGCCCAAACAATGTAACCAACATTTGCATACAAAGTGAGCAATTAGCGCGATGCCTGCGAGTTGGTTTAACTAATACGTCCATCAGAGGCGACGTTTATAGATGGCACAGAATTCCCAAACACTGGATCCAGAAACTTCCTATGGCATATATAAATGATTTTCAACAGGAAAATCGTGCTTTTTGAACTTTTCTGGATACTTTATGGTGATATTTATTTCAGGACGCATCTAAAAGCTTCATGTTAACATAATGAAGTTTTGAGAATAACATGTTTTAATGTGTTTCAACAACTAAGTCTGTGTGGCATATGTGAACACTGGCGTATGAATAACAATGCAGTAAAAGAGTATTACTTTAAAAAGTCTTCCTAAGACACAACTGTTGACAAGTATCTTCATTAATAAACACTAACGGAAGATTATCTATCACTTGTCCTGCTGCACGCACAGAACCCAGGAACACTGTGGCTTCTAATGGATTATTTACCTTCATTTTACCCTCTTAAATTTGATGCTAAAACCTCTGACAATACATTGTTAGGTTTATGTTAAATTGCCCCGATCATCTTGTGCCCAAGTCTGATATCTTGATATCTTTTTGTCCGTTCAGGCGCAAATTATGAATCGAGCCTTATTTGGAGCCGGGTTTTTTCTTTTTAATTTAGTAATTGATATCGGTTTTCCTCCACTTCAGCGAGGTGCAGGAGGCCGGGAGGAGAGTCGTGGTGGACATGTCTCCCCTGTCGCCCTGGGTGGTCGGACGACAGGGAACACAAATACATGCCAACCAGAGGAGGGGAACAAAAGGGGAAAATGTAGCCCCGCGCCCGAGACCCGTTGGAAGCATTTGTTCCAGTCAAGATTTTGCATTTGTTCAGTCCTGCAATAATGCCTGATTGACGCCCAGGCACAATGTCCTTTAGGTTTGCAGGATAAATCCGAGCTTGTTCCGTGTTGTCATGGTTTTGAATCGTGCTGAATAGGATGTGGGACACTATCTACTGCTCTGCGTCTAATGCCGCCCAGTCTATAGTAAAGCGCAGCATTACACATGTGATTCAATGCTTATTAAAATCCTTTTAGATGTTCCGAGTTCAACAAAGTCGGTGACCTTTAATATGAGCACGAAGTGCTCTGAAATCAGCCTTTATCGTTTGTTTTTGCCCAATGAAAAACCTTTACGCACATTACGCACACGCGTTTCGCTGGAAAACAAACAATATTTAGCAACTTTAAAGACAAAAGAGACTATCACTACAACCTGAGAGGTCTGAAATGGGGCTCCTACTTCAAGTACTATTTCTGTGTACACACCGGCTTCCCAGTGGTTGACAAACACCAGCGGATTACAGTACAGGTTTGATGAGTGGGTAGTTCACAGAAGCCACTCAATTGGAGAGCAAAAACACGCAAAGGCAAAGAAAAGTCATGTTCAAAGAGCGGGAATTTTCTGCCCACAATGACCCAGCAGACCCTTAATCTATTTAACACCAGCAGGCTTCAGCCAGAGAGGGTCCTCTGCAGCTCCCAAGAGCTCTCCACTGCCAAATATTTACTCTGTTGTTCAGCTCTTCATTCCCAATCCCTCCTCTGGCAAATGGAGGTTTTCTCACATGGTTCTGGAGCCCGCAGCTGAAATCTAAACAACTGACAGTTTGGACAATTTGGACCTGACAAACTAGAGACTCCAAAACGAAACGTTGCAGAGGGAGCCTTTACAAACCCGTGATTTAAAATGGAGCCACTTTGTCGATTTATAACACATGTGAAATATAAAACATTAGTTCCTTTAATGGAGACACCGGTGAAGCCCCTCAGCACGTTTTTAGATCAGCTATAGCTCGGTTAAAATAAATGGAGTCTGTGCATTTGATAGAGCTGAAGATGTACTCCAATCTTTAGCTGAAGTCAAATTACATCACTACAATATAAAGATGCTCTGTTACAAGTAAAAGCTGAGCATCCAAAATACTGCTAAAGCACATGCATGTAAAATGTAAATAAAATGTCAAAAGTCCTCACTTTGCAGCAGAACTGCCCATTCAGAGTGACATTACCATGATTCCTGATGTATTATCATTATGCTTTACACATTGATCTAATGTCTATTAAACTGTAAAGAGTATAAAGAATGTTTTCCTCTGAAATGTAGAGGAGTAAAAGAATTCAGTTCATTATATTACTCAATTAAGGTCCAAGTACTTCCAACAACTGTTGTTTTGGCTCAGGCCTCTAACTGCTTTTATTGTGAAGCTGTTCAAACAATTACTTTTGAAAAGTTACAGTTAAAATGATTACATTTCTAGAGGTGCACTCAAATAAGGAGGTGGATCAAACAAACTGTTGGTTAAAAACTGAAGCAGCAGCAGAGAAGAAATATCCTGCCATTTAGTTCTTGTTTTTCCCCATAATTCAGCTTCATAGTCTTTTTACATTGTGTTTCTCAGACTTTGCCGAGCTCCCTCCACAGCCAGAAGACATTATACATCCGTTTTCACAGAGTGAGTAGTGCTTTTATCCCAGTAAACTGAACAGAGTGCCACCCCATGACACCACTATGCTATCTACAGACATCTACATTTTCTATTCAAGTCTAAACACTACACAACGGATCAAGCTGTGACCTTGCAGTAAACAAACGAAAGCAATCCCCGAGATGTTTATCTGATCCTACTCTGATTATCAGTCACCTGAACTGCCACAACGACCCCTCTGTTACTCCTCACAGCAGTGTGGCGGCTCAATGTAGCATCGTGCTTCAGCAGCTGCACCTGCTGCTGCTGCCCTCTCCCTTCTCTCTCTGTCCTGTACGTACAATTAGCATTTTGGAGAGGGGCTGTGGGGATAATAGTTTGGCAGACACATCACGCTCTCTGCAGCAAACCGGGGTCTTGTGAGGCAGCTGTGTGTTTGCTGCTCAGCGAGTGTGTCAAAAAGTCAGGTTTGTTTAGACGGTGCTTTAAGATGCAAAGCCACTGCGCGCCAAGGGATTTTCATGAACACAGAACAGGCGAAGAGGAGCCAGCTCTTGTAAAATGCTAATTAACAGCAAAGGCACATTTTAAACGTTAAGCATGAAATCAAGAAAACAAATCAGTGTTTCCTTTAAGCTCTGTGTGTGTTTGGTGTTATGAATTATCAGTTATTTAGCTTGAATTCCAAATCACAACATTTTGTCTGCAGTGATAAGATAGAAATGTTTGTTCCTTTTCTCTGGGGAAAGCAAAGAAAACACCACTTACCTTTGAGTTGAGTTGTTTCAGGTGTGCTGACCTCAGTCCCTCAGCCCCAGTAAGCTGATGATATCTGTAGGAAGAAACAATAAATGGACCAGAATGATCACAGATCTAATAAGTTTTACTTTGCCAACATTTGAGTGACATGTTAAGACCAGAAGCTGTCAGTGCTGCACCTGACTTGTGATACTTGGCTGCCCTCTACAGGCCACACATTAAACCTGACACACTCCTCTCTCTTGCCCTCCTCCAATCTTTTATTTTCCAACCAACCACAAAGTGTCGGGGGGAGGTTAATTCACTTCAGACTTTATTGAAAAGGGGAAACCAGTACAGAGCCATTGCAAACACAACTAACTCTACACAGTCTCATCTTTTGGTAAAACACACATGACAGTTCCTCAGAAGTGTCTGCTTGGTCATTTGACTGTAATAGTCAAGAGAAGAATGTCTCAGAGTCTCAGTGAACTCAAAATGCAGAGGGTGAGTATCATCTGAAAGGATGAAAGAGGCTCTTGGTGCTTTATTGCTGTAGTGTCACAGCTAGAATCCAGAACCACTAAACACTGTAGATGCTGGGATGATGTGGCCGAGCTCACTGTCCTCACAGTTTTCCACCCATGGGATTTACACAGCCACCATTCATCCCTTTAAAAGGGAAACAAATTAACAAGAACTCAGCTCAACAGGTTTTCATGCACAAGAAGAAGTAAATAAAACAAGAAATAAACAATGAATACTGAAAAAGTTCACATTTAAAACACACAAAATGGGCCTCATTTCACTTTCATGGGATGGGTTCTTACCAAAATTAATCTGTAGCTATTTATAAAATGAAGCAGTCAACAAAAAACAATAATACATTTAGTCTTACACATGATTAAATTCAAGCTTATACACCACTGAATGGTCGTGTCCGTCCCGTGAAAAACACTGTACACAGTTTGGTTTGGTTCCTAAATGTCCACCAGATGGCGCCACTGTATTTGGGAACTAACCGGTTGACAGTGATCAGCAGCATCACTGACCCTCTGCACACGCACGCACAGAGAATCCCTAAGATTAAAAGGGATGAGTTCGGCGCTTTGGTTTTCACCAGGGAGCAATTGAGAGATGTTTTTCCTCAGTGTCTGGTTTTGGCCTTCTGCTGCTCACAAAATAGCGCCTTTCAGTGAAATCACCTCACTGATCCTGGGCCTTGTGCCAAAATACGTTGCTTCTCATTTCACTAACATGCAACTTGTCATTAAATGTTACAGTCACACGCTGCAGCTTCACCTTAAATCAGGAGCATCGCCAGGCTGCACGGAGGCCACTGATTTAATCCTGTGAAATGTTCTCTGTTTCATTAAACACACAGAATTACATCACACGCTATTCAACTTTGAAAAGAAAAAAGAAACGTTATTTTAATGTCATACCTAAGCTTAATTTGCTTA